CCTTCTCCCCCCGCCTCAGCGCAGCCCTTCCGAGGCACGGCGGCAGCCGGCCCCCTCCCGGCCCCTCAACCCCGCGTCCCCCGTGCCCCCAGCTCCGGGCTGGGTATCCCCCGGGCCCCGTTTTCGTCCGTCCCTCGGTCTCCCGGCGTTACCTCGCCGCCGCCGGCCTCCCCTCCTGCCTCCCGCCCGCCCTGCGGCCCCCGGCGCCGTGCCCGCCGCGCCTCAGGCCGCCATGATGGCGGCGCCGGTGTCCCCCGCGCCGCTCCTTCCCCCGGCCCGCCCGGCCCCGCACCGAGCGTTCCGCCCCTTCAGGCGGCCTCAGCGCCGGGCCCGGGGCTGAAAAAGCCCCGAGGTGTGAAAAAAAAAAAACCTCACAGCCCTCCACTGGGGTCGGGGAGTCTGTCAGAGCCGCCCTACAAGCCCTTGTGGTAGCCACGAGCTGTGCTCTGTGGCTGGCGGGAGACCCCCGCGGTGAGGGGAGGCAGGCGGCAGGCCCCTCAGTGAAGGATTTACCTCAGGCGGGGTGATGAAGGGTCCCGAGCGGGATCCTAAAGCACCCTAGCCCTCTGCCACCAGATTTGCTTCTCCCTACTTTTACCCCTTGCCATCACACATCTCGCCTCACACTCCCGTCATCATCTGGGCAGGCAGAGCCTGGCGTGGCCACAACCACAGCGTGCAGTGGGGTACCTCAGTGTCAACCCCATACCGCCTCACACCCCCTCATCCATGTACCACTGGGCTGTGATTAACGTGCACGGCTCCTACCCGCTCATTTAATGGGGTGGGGTGAGGCTGGTTGCCCTTGTGGCATCCCTAAAAGCACGGGGCGTCAAACTGTCCCCACTGCTAGCCCTGCTGGGTCTCCTCAAGCTATGACGCCGCAATCCCTAAAAACAAACGCTTCCTCTCGGGCTCCACCGCTTCCTGAAAAACTGTTTAATTACAAGCGAGCAAAGTTTCTGGCTCCGAGGGCACAGCAGGTGTCGGGGTACGACGTGCTGTGGCATCGTCTCGGGGTTTTTTGCACTCCGGGGTGACCCGTGCACGGGGCTGGCATTTCAAAGCCACGTTTCAGCGTGCTCTTTGTTCTGACGGCACGGCAGCGTGGGGCTGTTTTACACTTACAGGTTCCATTCATTTTTTTTTGAATCTGTGCATATGCTACAGCCTTCAGAGCGGATTAAATCTTCCATTTTATGGCATGAACCAGACAATGCCCGAGAAGCTGAAACGGGGCCGTTAGCAGTGACAAACAATCGAGCAGTTGTGCTGGGCAGGACAATGGAGGCTGCCAGCTGAGCCATTGACTGCCCCTCCGGCCAGTCCTCCTGGGGTGCGGATGGAAAAATGCCAAAAAGACGGGGTGAAGGATCACAAGGTGCTAGAAGTGGTGTTAGGCTCTCTAGACGAGTCGTCTGTGTGAGTGACAAACCAAAACACAGAGCTCAGCCTGTGCTGTGGGGAGTGGGGGGAGCAGGGAGGCAGCTGGAGGAGCTGAGATCCTCTCCAGGACACAGACCAGGAGCCAAAAGACTCTGGGGAGGAGGGAGAAGAGCTGGGGTGGGAACGAGAGGGCTCTCGTGGTTGTTACCCTTCCCAAAATCTGTACACTCATCTGTGCCATGCTGCAAATAAAGTGTGCCTCTGTTTAAAATTCTTTAGCAAAGTACAAAGTGCTTCTGGCTTTCAGTCAGCCAGTCCCTAAAGATCGGACCGTGGACTGGCACGGCCAGGAGCAGGGAGCTTTCACGGAACAAACATCAGAAGCTATTAGGGAAACTGACAGGGCTTAGCCTGCGTCTCAGAGCCATCCACAGCTGGTCCCTGGGGTCCCATCTTCCCGAGAAGGGGTGACAGGCAAGCAGAGAGATGCAAGCATTGGGATGCTGTTGTGACACTCTGGGCTTCAAAGCAAATTGGATGTAAAAAACTAGGCCCTGCACAGCAAGGGAACTCAGCCAGGGCTATAACAAGCCGTTCAGGAATTTGCTTAAGCTACACTTAGATCTCATCTGCACAGGGAGGGAGAGTTACCTCTTTAATCACGTCCGAAACAGGCCCTCCACCACGGTTCATATTACCCCGCAGGTACACGGGCACAGTTGCCCTGGGAGAGAAGTGCGTCACCTCATTTGTCTGAAGAGCTGTTCAAGCCGAAATCCAGGGCTGATGCAGACAGGGAAATGTGTAACAGCGAGCTATTTCCCATGGATCATTTTTGCAACCTCTTGCTGGAGCCCACAGATAAAAATCAACCAACTACTACTGAGCCCTCCTGCATTAGCCCCTTCTAGGTCATCCAGGAGGATCTTTTCGTCAGGCTGTCCTGACATCTCCTGGCTGCTGCCAGCCAGCCTGGCTGGCTGAGGTGGACTTTGGAGGAAAGCATCAGTTAAGCTCAGCTTCTGGGATGGATTTTTTTTTAAGTAAAATAAAAATACGAGTATGCCCAGCTGTCTCGTCTCCTTTTAAACAGCTATTGCAACCTCTTGCTCCACCCACGCAGCTTTCCGCATGCAGGGAGATGTTAATCCATTTTATCTTTTAATGTTAGCATTATCTCTTCGCTCACCCTGTCTCTTCCCCTTGTGATTCTGTAATCTAGGTCCCTTTCAGGCAGCAGATAATTTCACCTCGTTTCCTTGTGTTGCCTGAGAAAAGAAACCATAAATCCAGAGTAATGTCTTCAACCAGTGGGGTCATGGAGCCCCAGAGAGACTTTGAGAACATCATTTCTCTATCAGGAAACAATGCACGAGCCTGCAAAGTCACCTGTAAGGGACTGAGATGGGGCAGGCTGGGATTACAGCGCAGTGACAGCCTTCTGTCCCACAGCTCAGTCACACTGAGCTTGGCATCTGGTTCCTCAGGCTTCTGAGCACCCAACCTGCAGCTGCTCCCCCTGCCCCTGTCTGCACCCTGCTGCCAGGCAGGCGGCGCCAGCTTTGCTCCTCCTTGTTGTGCACCTCCCTGCGCCCCAGGGCATGATTCTGGAGCTGGCTCTTTTCTCCTGAAATCCCAATTTTGATGTGCCACCAGCCAGAAAGTTCACACCCAGTGTCACCAAGGTGAGGGCTGATAGTGAAAGCAGGTACTTTTGTGTTTCTTAACCTTTCCCTCACCTTTCATACATAAGGTGGTTTACATCAAAAAAGAGGTGCCTTAGGACAACATAAGAGCTTACCAATATGCCACATAACACGTTATATTAAGAAATCATGCAGTAGGCTAGATTTATCTGCCAGGATTAGGATCTGATCCCTAAAATGTCCACTAATTTTACTTCCCAACCAACTTAAAGCAAAACATCAACTGCTGGCCCCACAGCCATGTTAGAGCAGGAACATCTACGTGTAACCAAGTGGATGCTCTAGGGGTAAGCTGGGATATGTAACTGCTAACGCAGTCTTGGATGTGGTTTTACTTCCTATCCATGTGTGCTTTCACCATACTTCACCCATTTATTCTCTCCTTCCAGGTTTCCAGGACCTCAACATCACAGAGCATAACGGGAGCACCGAAGACTTGCTGAAGAAGCTGTCAAGCTCTCCACTTTTCCCAGGATCCAGGAGTAAGCTGCTAGCTGGACTCACATCTCTCACCTTGGCCAGGCTGGGGGCGATGTGTAGGCAGCTGTATGACCCCTTCTGTTGAGTGTGGGGTGGGAGAAGGCCCCAGCTTACAAACATATTTCCCGGTTATGCTGGAGAAATACCAGATCCTCTATCAGCAGCTTGGGAGGACGGCAGTGCAACGCGTTCTGGGGAGGCAGAAGGCAGGCTGGGAACATCCCCTCACCTGCAAGGACAGCTTAGGAACCGTGACACCTGCCAACTCGGCATGCTACAGAGGTGTAAAGGCAAAGGTGAGGTTTTCGGAATGAAGTCACACAAAGGGACAGCGAGACTTGCTGTGCTGCTTCCTCACGAGCGGATCGGAAAGCTGAGGTGATATTTGTGTTAATTTAGGGTGAGAATTTTGAGAGAACTCGGGGTTCCTGTCACCCTCTGAGTTATGGTGTCCCATGTGGTGCTGCTGCTCGTGCTGGGAGCAGTCCCAAGATGTCCAAACTTCCCCTGTCAGCTCTTCCATGACCCCAAACCAGAGCAATGCCAACTGCCCAACCCCTGCTTCCCCACACAGACTGATGGAAACCGGGATTTCACCCCAAAACGCAAAAAGCCCCCAACTGTGCCCTGTGGGGCTCCCACCCCGTGCCCTGAGGGGCTGAGGGAGCCCCTCGCTGCCCAGCTCCGCCACCTCGGCACCGAGCTCTGGGCGCCTCAGCCTCCTCCATCCCAACGAGCAACCCAACCCCGGGGCTGCGCGAACGCCCGGCGCCCGGCCAAGTTTGTCCCTCATCGCCTCCCGTCCCCGCCCCGCCGCCCTTGAGCGAGAGGAGGAGGGGGGAGAGAAAAAGAGCGGGGGGGGGGGGGGGAAAAGCCGCGAGGGCGCGCTCTGATTGGCTAAGCGACCCGTCAATAAAGGGCGGCGGCGGAGAGCGATTGGCTGGAGGGGCCGGGCGGGAGGCGGGGCGGAGGGAGGCGGCCGGGGTTGGTTGCGGCGGCCGGTGGCGGGTGCGAGGCAGAGGAGGGAGGAGGGGCGGGGGGCCCTGAGGCGCCGCTGTCACCGCCGCCGCCGCCGCCTCCTTTCAGGCCCGGCCCCGGCCCGCGCAGCCCCCTCCGCCCGCGGCGGGACCATGTCGGCCACGGACGAGCGGGCCAAGGAGATCCTGAGGGGCTTCAAGCTGTATCCGCCCGGCTGAGGGGGGAAGGAATCGGGAAATGGGGGGGGGGGGGGCGGTGTGAGGGGTTGTCATGGAAACGGCCCCATCCCGGGGGGGGGGCTGGGCCCGATGGGGTCCCCCCCTCACACACACTCATCGGGGTCTCCTCTCTGTGGTGAGGGGGGGGCTGGGTGTGGTGGGGGGAGCCGGGAAGGGGCCTGGGGAGGGCATAAAGGGGGTGAGGGGGTGCCCATTAGGGTGGGGGTACACGGGGAGAAAGGCTGAGCCCCCCCCGGTGCTCCTGCAGGAGCTGAGGGGCTCCTCACTGAGGTCCCTGCCTCAGCTGGAGAAGCCCAGCCCGTCCCCAGGGCCTGCTGCTCGGGGACATCTCCTCAGGGACATCTCCTCAGGGATCTTCTGCTCAGAAAGGCCGTAGCGCCCGGTCTGCTCGTCCCGAAGCGGCTCCTTCCCGGTGGTGTGGTGAGGTACCGGCGCGTGCTGCCCGGCTGTACGCGTAGCGATGCCGCTGAGGTGCTGTCAGGTGCCTTTCCCTGCAGGTTATCGGAGAACTTTGTGCATCGGGGCTGTCAAAAGGTTTGTTTTGCATGTCAGCTGAACGCGGGGTTAAGGGTGATCAAAGGAGGTAGAGCTGAGCTCTGAGAGCCTGCGTGCACCTTTCCAAGCCAGGGTAAAAGTAGAGAAAGGCTCAATGTAAAGGCCCACGTGCAACCTGAGGGTGGGAGAAACATGCTGCATAGAACTACTATAGCAGATTCTTCTAGGCTTGAAAGACAGGTGCAAGAATGACCTTTAGGCACAGGGACACTTCTGTTTTTTTATTGGAAAGGACAGAAATGAACTGAATACCCTTTTGATCTGATGCTGTTAGTGCTGAACAGATTTCTGGCCAGTGAAATGTTCATAATCTCTATGCCAGCTGTAGCACAATCTGAATTTCTAGGCTGGATTTAGCAAGACAGCTACTATCAAACTATAAGCAGATGCTTTTCTTAACTTGTGAATCACTGTCCCCTCCCCCAGCTCTTAGTACTGCATCTGGTTCCTTTGCTTCTGCGCTAGCAATATTGACAGTTCTCTTTATTTATGAAGATGTAATATTTCAGTTGTCAAAACATTATTTAAGAGTCTTTTGTGCAGGCAATTAGAAAAAGTATAAGCTTCTGACAAAACCAGACTAAGCTTCTGGTAGAAAGGAGAAGTGTTTATTAAGTTAACTCCAGGGAGCAAACTTCTGAGTGTTTTTTACTTGCATCTGTGTGTTGTGTTTGCTGGATGGCCCAGTTTGGGTGAAGGCTTTTGTCCAATTTTGGATGAAATAATTCGTTTTGTTTGTTGCCTTAGGTAGAAAATATTCTTTGACCTTTAAGAGCAAGATGGTTGTACAAGCCTAAGGTAAACTTCTGTTATCTCAAGCAGCTGTAGCAGAAATACTCGGCAGTTCCAGGCTGAATGACAAGTTTAGTCTTCCTTTGTTTGTCCCAGCAAGACACCGATGCCAATTTTAGCTTTGATAAGACATTTTAGGCTACAAAAACCTTGACTGTGTTTCTCCAAAACATCCAAGGGTACTTCGATAGCTCAGGCCACTGCCTGCCACGAGCTCTGTGAAATATTAAGTCTGAGAAACAAAAGTTTCTTTACAGATTTTATAAATTGAATTTTCTAAGTAATTGGACATCATTTATGTGCCATTAGTTGATCAGAAAAGTGGCAGAACATTCCTCATTTATGAGAGAAAGCCTTGAGACACTGCACCATCCCCACAGGAAGCCATTCATACCCAGATGTGGCTGCGTTTTCCATAAGGCAGCCATCAGCAAAGAGTTCCACTTCCTTTTCTAAGAAGAGTGCTTATTCGAAAGTGTTACATTTTAAAGAGATGCTTTATCTTCCAGCCGCTCTACTGCTGCATGTGCTGATTTAATTTGCTTGATAAAAAGGGAAGAGAAACACGGTCTGAGAAGCTGTTACATTTATATTTGGAGTACTTGAAAGTTCTCTCCTCCCCTCCCAGGAGGGAGAAGTTCAGCTCCAACCTAAGCACATCCTGTAAGCTTGGCACCTCAAAGTGAACTCGCTTTTAGCACCAGAAGGCAGCAGAGTTGTGCCTAGGGTACGGATGTATTACGTTCCTTGTGTGGCAGGATCTGCTGGTAGAGTAGAAAGCATCACTGAAGGAAGTTTTCCGGAACACTTTAACATAAGAACTGCCAGTTCAGCTGGAAGTGAAGTTCATATTGAGCAATCGAAGCTTCCTCAAACAACTCCTATTTATTTGTTGTTCCTGAGAACGGGCTAACTACAGGCTTTCCAACTGATTGGGACATGCTGCTGTGGAAATTAAATTATAGCCCAAATCCACCCTCTGACTTGAACACAGAGGTATGCTTTCCTTCCTCTATGACACTAGTGCAGAAGCATGTTGTGGCTAGCGTCCTCAAATTCAGGGCAGAAATATTTCTTCCCTCTTCTCACAGATTTTGCTGGTTTTAAAAAAAAGAAAGCCAAAGGAGAAATATTTGGAGAAATATTTTTGCAGGCAGATGTGTGCTTATGTATTATTACACTCAGAATTTCTATGGCACTAGTTAAAAACTGAATACTGACAGTCCAGTGTGTTGCAGTAAAAGATGGAAGGCAGCCAGCAAGAACTTTTATAGCTTGTCACTTCTGGAGACAAGCTCTGTTTACAGGTGTTCATCAGCTCACTGTTCTGAGGGCACTCCACCAAACAGCAGTGCTTATACTTAAAATAGGAAAATATTTACAGGTAGTCTAGCAGTCTGAGAATGCAGACTGATTGTTTGGCCAGAAATAATATCAGTTCCGTTGGTAATTAAAGATGCTTTCCTATGGGATAAGAGCCAAGGCTCATTTCTGCAAGTGCTTATGCACAACTGGTCCTGTAATTTCAAATGCATCTAGTTTGACTATGCTTTTTCCTCCAGAAGCTGAGACAGTTACACTGTCAAGCTACAGAATGGCATTTTACTTGAACCTTCCTTACCCTTTCAACGCTCTCTTCAGGTTTAGTTCTTTTGTTTTAGCTTTAGAGTTCAGATGTTAGCTACATATATTTTGTAGTACTTACCTTCATAAAAGGGTAACACCAAAAATATTTCTCCCCAGCAGTCAAAACCTTGCATTGAGAATTTTTTGATGGCTCCCCCCTACCAGCCCCCTGAATTTGTGGGTTGCCTGTTTGTATCTGTTCTGATAGAAACTAGCACGTGTTTTTCTTCCAGTGCCTTTTGTTCACTAGAATGAGAACACTGTAGACAGTTACTCCATTTTAATCTGGTTTGTAAGCATTTGTGCATTTTTATTTAATCAGACCATCTATGCTGCAGATGAGAAATATCTGGTTGTGGTTTGCAAGAGCAGATTCACATCCAGCTCTTTGGGAAGGAGTGCATAAGGAAACTGAACTTTGGTGCCTCAAATGTTTCTGCCAGAACAGCACAGAAGAGAAAGTTCAAACAAGTCAGTTGGGTCTCATAGCACAGAGAAGGTACCAAGTCTAGCCTCTCAAAATCTGAGTAAGCACATCCATTTCCTGTTTTAAACTTTACAGTTCAAGCAAGGTATCACCTATTTTATTTGCTCCTGAACAGAGCAGTCTCAGCATCCTTGGACTCCAGAGTGTTAATTGCTGTGTAGACATTTATCAGTTTAAGGTAGATTTCTCTGTGAACTTCCATTAAAGGCTACACAGCATATCTTGCCATATTTCAGGAGTCTCCTGGAGCTAATTAATATGGTGAACATAAGGATGAAGAGAACATTAATTGCAGGTCACAATAATTATGGAGTTATGAAGCTAGTATTTGTGGTCAATATAAGCATATACTAGCAGCTCAAGCATTCAAGCATTTGTAAGCAAGTCATTCCAGACAGAGGCTCTACTACTTTCTGAAACCTCTGAGGTTTCCTGTGCAATGCCTTCTCATCTTGCAGAGCTTCTTCCAGTCTTGCCATTATTTTTCCATCTAGGAAATCAATTCAGCAGGGCATTAATGTTTTGGAAAGATGGATGAAGCTGTAATAAGGGTATAGTTAGAAATCATTGAGAGTTTCTATGAAATTCTCTGCAGACAAGAGTTCTGTTTCCAGCCTCCATCTCATCTCTGCCATATACACAAAAACTAATCAGTGACAGCCTTGCCTATCAGTTCCTGGAGCAGTCATTAGACCAGTTTGATGCAGCATTCAGAAGTTGACAAATCCAAACCAAAGTTCTATCAAGTGGAGTTTCTAACTTATTTTTAGTTTATTATGTCTTTAATTTCTTATTCACAGAAAATATTTATTGCAGTATTTATGAGACTTAACAAGGTGGCAGCTTTAACTGGCTTAAAGAATTCCCCTTTTTGAGGCTTCCTGCCTGTGCTTCCTCAGATCTTGGTTTAGACTTCCTACAATTGAATAGAGAGATGAATCACCAAGTTCATGGGTTAAATGGAGACACTGACCAGCTAGAAGAAGGAACAGCGCTCCCCAGAAGCTAGGAAGTACACTCAGCAGGGAGCCAAAGCAGAACATGAATCTAGCTTGCACCAACAGAATTTAAAGCATTCTAGAAAACGAGCTTGAGTTCCCCACGTGCGTTTCTGGCTTACAAAAAACTGGAAGAGTCCTTCCCATCAAAGGCATGGAGTTTATTCATATAATCTGGAAGATTGGTCTTCCTTTGCCACTTTCCTGCCTACAAACCTTGGAGTGTGCTACAAGCAGGAGCGCTAGACATTTCCCAGTTCACACTAACTACAGAACCACTTCAAACACTGGCAGAATCAAGATATCTTTGTTTCAAGAAGGTCAGAGCTTCACTCAGAAGCTTCAGCCACATTGTGCTTGATATTTAAGTGTCACTGTGGTCAAGGTATCTCTACCATATCAGAATTGTCTCCAGTTCTGGTAGACTAAACACATGACAGGTTCTTCATGTTTCTTATGCACAGGTCATGAGGTGTATCTGCAAGTGATGCAGGAGCAATTTCACCAGGCTTGGCTTTACCTGCCTACTTCCTCAACGCCAAAAAACTTCGTGCTCCCCCTAACTCACTTGCATTGAAAAAATTAACATAGCCTATAGGAAGAACAGCAAGCTGTGTTAGTTAAACATTACTATTTGAATGAGTTAATCAGTTTTCTGCATTTCAGATTTAGTGCAGCCCTACTGTAGTGGGAAAGCAGTGCTTTGTGCCCTGGACAGAAGGGTAGAAGAAAAACAGAGCTCAACAATCACAGGAAACCAATGAGTTGCCCCAGGGTATATCTTAACTAGCACTGGTTTAGGAGTGCGATTCAACATTAAATCCAATGTTTGTCTTTAGTCAGCAATATTATTTTAACACCTTGTTTTTCAGTTTTATTTCTATTACTTGGCCTTTAATATCTCCAAAGCTTACTCATCCACTGTTTCACCAGAACTCTAGTTTTTATTTTACTTTCTTATTTAATGCCAACCTAATACAGTACCATCAAAAACTCAGTTGTCATAGGCAAGTTTTATTTTCCCTTGTTTCTTTATAAGATCTTTAAGATCTCAGCTACTCTGTACATCCTTGGAAGTCATTGGCACCTTATGCTTCAGCCATTATTACAGCACTTGGATTTCCTCACAGCAGAAGATAGTAATTTAATCCATTCAGTGAGAATTGGTAGAGTTCCTCCGCCCTCCTCCCCACCCCATCTTCACAGCCAACACATAGCAAAAAGCCATACTTACAGCTGTAGATAATAGGGAAGGCAGCTAAAATACCTCATGTTTAACAAGTTCTGTGCACAGTAGCCTGGTTTATTTTTTAAATGCAGGCATCTGATGCATGTCCTGTGCATTTCCAATTAGTGGTTTTCTGTTAACTAAAACAGTTTTAGAATGGAAGCTAATTCAGCTTTAGCAGCCTCGGAGCTTTACATCATCTCAGGATTTTAGTTATCTGGAAACAATGTCAGGAGTCAGAACTTCACATGAAGTTAGAGAGAGAACAGGCCACAGTACTGTGACTTCTGTGAAGTATGTAATACATAAGCCTCTTCTATTTCTCTCTGTAAGCTGGGGAATTAAAGCAGCTTCAGATTTGAGCTCAGACCCTCCATTAAAGAGGGAATCAAAGTGCCATTTACATCTAGTCAGTCAAACTTTGTATAGAAGCATGAAGACTGATTGCTAGGTACCCATGTTCTCTGCTTGTTACCCATACTTAGTAATCTGTTAAGTGCCAAATACTGAGTTTTGTCTTACTATATGTCAGGACAGCAAGATTTGTCCATCAGAAAGACTAGTTCTGTAAGCACACAAAAGGTAGCTTTTACACATCTGTTGCTCACACACCCTAAGGAACAGATTTATGGATATACACTTGACATGCAAGGAACTACAATAGCATATATTGAATTAAAAAAGCATTCTCAGAGGTTACCTTTTTGTCTTGAGTGCATTACAAGCACCTCCAGAAGTAGTTCAGGATCTCTGTAGTACCACTCCCACAACAGTGTTAAAGACTAGAAAGCAGCTGAGGGGACATCTCTGTGCACACACACACCAGGCATTAAAGTTTCCAAGTCTGTTTAACATATCTAAGAAAGCACAGCAGGACTGTCTGAAATGCTCCCTCCAGAAGATATCCAGCAGTAACTAAGGTTCTCTTGAATGCCAGCACCACATCTCAGCTGCATGTTGCTGAACCCCTATTGACAGCCAGGATTTTTCACTTGTGATTATGAACATGAAATTCTGTTACCAGATTTCTCCTGAACCAAGTCCTCATTGTGACACATCATAGGTCCAGAAGAGATGTAAGGGAAACAACATACTAATTCAGCCACGTGTGAACCTTTGCGTTATTTATGTTCATGACTAGAAAAAAATAGCAGGCCTAAGTGCAGGGCAAGAGCAAGAAGAGTCCTTTTTACATAGTGAGGCCTTGGGATAACAATACACAAAAACATCCTTTCAGATTTATCTACTCCTGGGGAGAAAGGCTTACTTAACTAACTTGGAGCAACAGTGTCTTGGGCAACAGAGTGAGAGCAGGGGATTTTACTTAGTAATTCTGTAGAGGAGTATTTATATGGGTCAGTCTGTATGCTGCAGCATCTGCATAAGCTTCATCTACTTTGTAGCAAGTCAGAAGGTCATTTGGTGCACAAAACAGCTGATACTATTTTTCCCTGCTATTTATTGTATCAAGGAAATAGGAAGATCTTGTGCTTTCATTGATGTATACTGCACCTAAGCAGCCTGTCTCTCTGCCTCTTTCCTCCTCACTCCATGTAACTGGATTTAAGCTTTGCAGAAGGAAGGTTACAATACATGTGCTTGGATCCAGGAAACCCATCTGATATTTTGTCAAGCATGGCAGACACTTACAGTCAGGGACAGTCTGCTGGGCAAGCAGAGGTCTAACTTCAAGTCACTTTGGTGTGGAAAGTCAAAGGAAATTCTATTCTGGGAGACTTAAACTGGCTGTTTGCATTGCTGTAAATTGTTTCTGTGTATGAGAAAGCACTTATAGATGCCTCCCTAAGGATGAACACATTTTCTGTTCATTCGTTGGTGTGGACTGTTGCTAGCTTTGTGCTTAGAGAGTGCTGCAGCACCTCAGCCCTTCTTGCAGAAGAAGAGAAGAGAGGAAGCAGCACTGTCCCGTTAGTGTATCACCACTGGGTGGAATGGACCAGCCCATCTGAAAATTGGACATGAAGAAATACCCACAGAGTGTTCTAGAGATACTTTAAACGTTTGGCTTCCAGTGTCAGTCTTTAGGGCAGACTTTGGTGCATTAGAATACCGGCCTGTCAGTCTAACCAAACTTAAGACTGAAGTGGTTCTCCAGTAAAGCTGCTTTCTCTCCCAGAACCTGAGATAATAGAAAAAAGTCCTTCTAATTGTAATTTCACGTGAACTTAATCAGCTTTAAAGTGATGTTTTAAAGAGTTCAGTCTAGGAAACAGCATGGTTTTATTGCTTCAGAGGAAATAAGACATCTGAAAGTTATCTGCCCTTATATTCGTTATGTGTGCTTCTGTCACAGCAGCTGTGCAGTCAGATCACTGTTCCCAGCTGCTTGTTACACCTCTTCCAGATTTACTAGGTGAGCTGCTCAGATGAGCACTACCACCTCGTGTTTCAGTGTGAGAGGCACTCTAGCTTAGACAGCTTAAGTAATAGGTTAAGGAGCAGAGACCTGTGTTAGGCAAGTGGATCAGGTTAGCACTTTTACAACAGCTCAGCTCTTAGATTTGATGGAGAAAGCAGCAAGGGGCAGGGGAGGGCTGTGAGCAGCAGGCCTCTTCACCCAGCTGCTGCCAGCAGCTGTCAGCCCTCCCAGCCTCCTTCTTGCTGGAGAGAAGCTGGTTCTCAGCACAGCCTCCAGCACTCAGCTCTGCCTCACCTGATGAGGTTTCTCACCTCACACTGGCTCTGCAAGGGTAACTAAGCATGGCAGGCCTAACAGATTAGCCCTGTGATTGAACATCTTAATATCACATTAAGCCTATGCTTACTTCTCTTAAGAGCAGCGCATTTTAGATTCATCTTTTCTTCCCCCTTATTCTGTACAAGGGGTCTCTATCACTAGTGCTATGTGAAAAGTGACTGTGCAGTCACCAGCAGGATCTGGGACCAGAAATACCCTCAGAGACTCAACTCATCCACAGCTCTCATAACGAAACACACATAGGAAGCCACTGGCCAAAGTTTTCATTTGACTTTCAGCACTTACTAGAACAGAAAGATGCTGGTTTGAGCCCAAACCAGTATCTTAGAGAACAAATACACACTGTTTTGAAATACTCCTTCTAGAAAGAAGGAAATAGACCAGCAAGTTTCCAAATCCCATTTGGGCTGCTCATTTGGGGCACCCTAGGTAGTTCACAAGGGGTTATTACAATTACACTGTCACAATAAAAATGCAGCATTTAAACAGCTCCAGGAAAGAATTGTCTTATGTGTTTCCCCCTTGTGGGGCCTTCAAAGGCCACTGCATTATATTTATATAATAATGACCATAAGCTTAGCTTCAGCAGAGAAGCATTTATCTTTTTTAGAAAGAAAAAAAAAGTTCCTTGGCCCTACTGGCATCTTCCCATTCTACTATTGAAATAAGTTTCTTTAGAGCTTTAAGCTCTAAGAGTCACAACACTTCAAAAGAAAATGCTCTTAATTCTTAAAGTAGCCAGAGCTAAAACACACTACTTGTGAAATAAAAACAAAGGTTCCCCATGGAAAGCTGTAAGCTTACCTCTTCAATGCTCAGCTCCTCGGAGAAAATAAAGCCTCTCTTCTTGTCCCACCACAACCTCCTTCTCACAGCCCAGATAAAGCAGAAGCAAGGCATTAACCAGAGCACTGCAGAACAAGCCCCTGCTCCTCTAAGGCCTCCAGCAAGCTCTCTTCCTCGCTTAAATACAGCCCTGCCAGAGGCCAGGTGAAAATGTTTCACACCGTTCAGGGCAGCCTCTTGCACTTGTTTCATTGATAAAACAGCAGCTGCTTGCTTCCTGCTGAAGTGTCATTGCTTCAGAACCTTGTGTGCACAAATCCTGGGTTCTGAAATAGTAAATGATGCAGAGACAAGGTTGAAAAGGGTGTGCAAATAAATAAATAAAGGCTATATTTTAACCTAGACACACCTGTAAAGGCTGCAGATAATGCTGATTGTAACATTTTTTGTGTTTTTTTGCAGTTAACTTTGCAATATCACCATTCCCCCTAGTAAAAATGCTGGAAGTCACACATTTTAAAACAAAAAATAATGCTTTAAAAGCATAATGTTTGTATCAGCTGTGCGGAGGTCTAGCTTTTCAATTTCTAAATTGTTCTTCATTAACTATTAATAACTAAATTGAAACAATCCACTTGTGAACCACAGCTGATTGTTTTGGTGTGGTGTTCTTCTGTCACAGCGGAAGCGACATATTCCATTGTTTCAGCAGAAAACTATATGAATAGATTTTGATTAAAACTTTAAAAACGGATCTGAAAAATTAATGTATAGCTCTAAGCTTGTTACCAAATGAATATGAAAGTCTGAGTGTAAACTTAGCTATAGGTTTTCTTGACAATGAAAGCTATAGGAACTGCTGGGAAATAATAGAGAAGTAATAATGGGAAATAACACTGCTTTGTTTTCATTTCAGTAGAGATTTCGGTGCCTCTGCAGTAATGTTTTTCATCCAAATTCCACCCCGTGCTAGAGCAGAAAGCCGCGGGTTTGGGGCCCTGACCTTCTACCTTACAGAGGTTCCCTGGTGTCAGGCTTGAGGGTTTGCATCAGCAGAGTTCACATCCGTAGAAGCTGAGCATGGAGCTCGTGTATGTGTTCAAGTACAACATTCAGAACCAAATATTGTTCTTTTGCCTACTCTGAACTGCTTTGGAACTGGAATTTTTACTTAAATTTTCAGAGTAGTGCTTTTTCAAGCAACTTACTCTCTTCTCTGACTGCCGCGCCGTCTAACGCTGTAAATTGTTGGGATGGGTAAATTGTCTAATCCACTAATCCACACTGCAACATTCAGCACTCGTCATATTCTCGTAGGTTCCTAAAAAAGCACAGTAATTCTGACAGGAAGCCCATGGTTTTGAGAGTTGTGCCTCAATCTGTGTAAATCCCCCTTTATTCCTCCCCTCTGCCTCTGCTTTCAGTGGCCTCTGGTCCATTTACAAGATTAGATTCCTCATGCAGCTGCCACTCAATCCCTCTCGACTATATTTTCATGGTTTTTTTTTAGATTCTCCACTTGGTGTGTATGCGCCAAGTTTTCCTCCCTTTCTCAGAAGAGACAAGATAATGAACTTGTTTTTCTTGACTAATCTCAGTCCTGTCAGTTGTAAGTGGAAAACCCAAAAATTGTTTGCTCGATATTGCAGCGCGCGGTCTGGCCATCAAGCTAATTCACTGCTTTCGCTTGTAAATAACTTGCTCGTGTCCCGGGCAGCAGCTGGTGATTTTCTACCCTCTGCTTTCAACACCACGTATCCTGCAACTCCTCGTCAGCTCCTTGTTGGCAGAGCAGCCTCAGGTCGTGGCAGCAGAAATCGGTCACGGCTCTGAAAAATCACAGCACCAAACCAGCAGGGGAGGGAGAGCTTTTGAAAAGGATCCCCAAAATGGTGTTTTTGGTGACTTGCAGAGTACTCCAAAGGGAAAACTGCTTTTGTGGCTCGGATCCGTGACCTTTTTTCCTCTTGTGCCTTGCAGAACCTCTCACCTCACCGTGGTCCTGTCCTGTGAGTTCAGAGCCGCTGATGTTCACCTAAATACTCACATCCTCGCTGCCTTGGCTTGGTGTTGGCAGTGTCAGGGGCGCTGTTTGCCAGCTCATGCCTGGAAAAATCTGGTAGTTGGCAGCGGGGATGTTCTTCGGGTGTGCTCCTGGGGGCCCTCCCTGTAGGGGCTGCGCTGTTTGCAAGGCAGAAGCGTGCCCGGTTCTCATGCACACATGGGCTGACTTAAAAAAATCAGAATCTCTCTAGCCCCAAGGAAAGTCAGGCCAGGGCAGTCCACATGGATTGCATATCCGAGGAAGCGTTTAAGCTAATGCCAGGAAAAGGGTGGCTTGTTTCCACGCTGTGCCGCATCAGCAAGGAGGAGATTGGCATTTGCCGTTAGGGACTTGACGAAAAGTGCTTGTCTCTGCTGTTTCTCTGGCGATTTGAATTTTTATTTCGTTTATTAGGTGAAGAGTGTTAGCGCCAGGGCTAAATACTGGTTTACTCTAAAATCTCAATAAGATTAAATCCCCCTGTGGTTCTCTAATTACATCTCAAGGATACCGAGAGCCCGCGGTGATGGCTGGATGTATCCCTGGTTACAGAGCGACGCAGGCTTGGAGCAGCGAGGGATGTGCCCTGTGTGGCATTGCAGGGCAGCGTTAAAGGTGCAGAGGTCCAAAAAAAGCCTGGAGGGCTTTGAGTAAATTTCCTTTAGTAGAGCTGAGTGTCTTCTCTAGCAATTCTCATATCACATTCATGAGGGTACGGACAATCTGAGCTTTGCTATGGAGCTGAACAAAACAGTGGAGCTGTGTTTGCTGGTCTTAGCTCTATTGTATTAGTTGGATTTCACTTTGTCATAAACACAAGTCCTTACAGACTAATTAACAGCTCTGTTATAGCAACAGCACTCATTTCACCTTTTCCCTGATGGTTACAACGGGCGTTTCCTTTGGGAGCAATGTATACAGTATCTTTTCAGGATTTCATTCATTTTTTGTCATGTTTCAGCACTACTTGCGAGAGAGGGCATAGGAGCACTCCTGGAAAAGGAAGGTCAGTTGTCTGGCCTATTTTCCTGAATGGCAGCAGAGCAGTAATCCCCCCCGGAGGGAACACATACCAGCTTTATGCCAACTGGCTTGGGCAATATGGAGCTCGAGGGTGCCAGGAGGTTTTGAACTGCTGTAGCTACACTGTGTGAATGTGCTGCACTGAGATGAAGCAGTGCCTGTACTTTTTTTTTCCCAAGGTGTCAAGGAAAAGATAACTATACTGCTGCAAAACGCTCTGAGAGAAAGTCTAAGGGGTTGCCTGCTAAGCATGTCCTCCAACTTAACACTTGCTGCTTGATTTTCCCACTGTGGCTACCTTTATCCCAGGATGTGTGTGTGGAGTTCTGAATAACAGAAGTCATTTCAAAGCAAATCGAGTTGCCTTGGAATTGGACTCTTAATGCAGAGTAAGAACATTCAGGCAAGGGTTAAACGAGGGATGGATGGCTCAGCTGTACATTCAGTCTGTACCTCACTCTGGATTGGCTCCTGTGTGCTTGACAAGCCCCTAATTAATTCAACTGCTGGCAAAAGGTACTGTTTAAAAATTAATACTGTGTTGATAAGGTACCGAGGAACAGAAATTCTCTTTCCATAGCACAAGGGGAGTTTAGACAGACTCAGTAAGTGAATGCAAGAGAAATTCGGTGCTTGACCTTTTATTCTTGCCTCCTCCAAGTGACAAGAAGAATCTCTCGAGTACTTGTGTTACCGTTGATTTTGGTGGTGTGAATGCCCGCATATTTACAATTAGAATAAAACTCAGAAGCTCGTTTCCTGGAAGGTAGGAGCTATCAGACATGATGACTGTAGGCTTTATTGATCTGATGAGGTTTTGGACAGCTGACTGAGAGCCTAAATGTTGGCCAGATAAAAATCTCTGAGCCCCTGAAGTCCTTTGCACAAATGAATTCTCCCTCTTTTACAGACCTCTCTGAAATCAAGATGTGGCTCTGTGAAGACCGAACTACAGATTTTCCCTGAAAAGAGTTTTTACAAACAGTCTTGCTCAATGGTGATTTTGTTTTGTTCTGTATAGGTGGCTGCCTTACTTGACAAGAACTCTGAATTCTCCCTTGGCTTAGGATCTGTTCTCAGCAATACGAGTTAAAGTATGCTGTTGAAGGCAGTTTTATTTCTGCTCTTTCCTGATTCCCTGGAAGATAAAGAGGCTAAGCATCATCAACTTTAACAGGAATATGAAAAGTCAAGGGCAGGACTTGACTACTCTCTGTCCCTCATGCGGAAGAGACGACTGAATACAAAAGCTCTTGATATGAAAGATGCCTACTTTTGAGTATCACACATTCACCAGCTATGTAAGATTGCTGTGCATGACAACACCTGAGGGTTCTTTAAGCTTACAGCTCTTGAAGACTTTTAGGGTAGCTGCTGTATTCCCCAGTTGCTTGGATATCCGGAGTAAAGGGAGCCTGCCATGAGTGCATGGAGGAGTGATTTAAAGGCCAGCTCTGAACAGGATCTCTCTGCAGGAATAATTCAGCACGCTAGTGGCCTCTTCTGTCTTTGGGCAGTTAACCAGAAGTAAGAAATCTTTCATATGTACAAAATCTGTATTCTTACTGACCCGTGTCAGAGTCCTTGCTAATATGGGTCCAGATCTGACTTACCATGTCATAGACACGATCTGATTTGCTCCTTTTTAGTCCTGACATCTTACTGTCTGCTGATTGGTGTGGGCTTCTCATTGCCAAGGTGGGTATTTTAGAATATCTAGGAGTCCAAGGCCAGGGAGTCTGAGTCAGAGTAAAGCTGGGGACCTTTTTGTTCTACGTGGGAAGTGCCCATAGGCAGTGCCTTTCCCACAGGCTACATGGAAAAGAGAGGAGCATGTTTCAAGAAATCACAGAAGTATATGTATACCACACTCATTTACAGATCCGTGTAGTACCTTCTTCAAGAGAAGGTGAAGGCAGGATATGCAGAAGCAGGTCTTCAAGCTGACATTGTCAGTGCCATCTTTTAGAGATGAACCCTCAAGTTACCTTACCTTGTTGTAGCCAAACAAACTCGCGGGTGCCAGGTGAGTTGCAGGTTGATCCCACTTTCTCATCTGTTTCTGTCAGTGTGTACTCAGTGTCTGAATCATAAGGAAGATTGACCTGGCAGAGTAAATGTTCTTATAGGTCCCAGGGAGGCCTTAACAGACCTGATCCCGTGCAGTTGACCTCTGAGCCTCTGTATTCACTGCCCTGGTTTCAGGCTTGTTTGTGCTGCTGGGAGAAGAAAGTAACGTTAAGCAACATTGATTAGGATTGCTTTGTCAATAGGATAATGTTATCTATTTTGCATAT